GCAGTGTGTAAATGTGTGTTAACCATTATTCATTACACTCTCTCCTAATTAAAGGTAGGCTTACAAAGCCTGGGGAGGGGTCACCTTTTCAAAGATCCCAAGGAGATGGGCTGTTATCACCTTAACCTAGAAATCAACGTTAGCATCATTAACAGTGAGACAACCTGACATTATGTGCCTCCCAATATGATGCAATGTAGAGAGCACAGCTTCATTTGAGAAATATCCTTGCCAAAAACATTTAACCTTTAGATATTACTTCTGGTTGACAAAAAACACAGGAAATAGAGGAACAAGATAAATGACATCATAGGATGCAATTAGATAAATTCGAAGGTGAGGCATTCTGCAGAACAACTAGTCCTGGGGTTTCAGTAAGTCCATGTCAGATTCATGTAATTTAAAAGAGGGGGTGGGGGCTGTCCTGAATTAAGAGAGACTTTAGAGTCAAAATAAACAACCATATCATGTGGTCCTTGATTGGCTCAGGCATCAACAGGATCAACTGGGGGAAAATGAGACACATGAGGAAATTTGAATATTGACTAGATAAGAGGATGATATTGGAATTATTGTCAACTTTGTTAATCATGATAACAGTAATATGGTTCGGAAAAACATTGTTCTTTTGAGTTGCATATTGAGTAGGAGTAAAATGAAATACAGTACTTTAAGAGACTTCAGCAATAAACAAAAGCAACAGATTAATCAAATATGGCAAAGATGTTAGCAATTGTTGAATCTGGGCAGTGGGTAAATGGATGTTAACCATTATTCATTACACTCTCTACTTTTAAGTATGTTTAAAATATACATTACATTATAGTCTCTACTTTTGTATGTGTTTCAAATATTCTGGGTTGCTGTTTTTTTAAAGACTGGGAACCCATTGCAGGTAGGGCTGCAACAACTGTTCATTCTGTTTGCGGGTGACCTGAGATCACCCCTCCTCCCAGGGTCTCTCCAGACAGAAACTCCTCTGGGAGGCCACCAGAAGCACTAAGCTAGCTGAAAGCCACATCCCTTCTGGGAGAGGATGTCCCAGGCAGTGAGTCTTCCACCCTCGGGCCAGGCCAGGGCTGGGGGGATTGAAGGATAGACATTAATGCCACTTGGAGCTTTTCCTTTTCCCCCACTATACAAGATATTGAGGCCTCTCCTGCCTTTTCCACTGCCTGGAGTACCAACCACATACTATAGTGGCACTAGGGAAGTAGGCTGTGAAGAGTTGCAAAAGGTGTATAACCTGGTGAAGCCAGGAGTTATTCTATCGTGGGATGACTTATAGTTTTCATGTGCTGGTCTCAAAGGTGACAATGAGATGGCTAAAAAGGTAAGTCCTTCAGGGAATGGGGGATGGGCGACCTCCAAGTCTGGAATCAGCTCAAAGAAGGAACAGGAGAAAGGGTCAATCCCTTAGGGGCAGGGAGAGAAAGGAGACAGTGATCCAGGACAGGCCAAAGCCAGGATGCAAAGACAGCAGAGACCAGGGAAGAAGTGGGAGGTTCTGAAGGACACATCCTCCCTGGAGCTAAGAGAAGACTTTAAGGAAGGCAGGGTGGTGTGGGGCATCTGCTTGGCACCGAGGCTAAGCAAAGGAGAACTAAGAGAGGGCCGCTGGTGTTGGGTCTCAGAGGCTTCTTAGGAAGTGTCAATCAAGAAAGAGAGAGTTAGGGTGAGTTAAGGAGGAATCAGGCAACAACAGGACCAAGCTACTCCATGAAGCCAAAAGAAGTGAGAGGGGTTGGTGGCTGGTAGGAAAGGCCACCAGGCAAGACAGGCATGAAAGAATATGAGAGGATTCCAGAATCCTTCATGTTTAAGGCTGGAGATGGCTCCTACCACATGAGGCAACATATCCTCAGAGCTCACCATGCAGAGGTGAATGGATGGGCTCATGTAAAGGTTGCGGAGGAACCAGAGGGGCACATTGTAGCAAACCGAAGCAAAGGCTTTGGAGACCGTGGGAGTGGGCTCTGCATTCCACCTCTGCCACTATCTGTGCAGCCTTCTCTGTGTCTGTCCCTCATATGTTCAGTGGGGCTAGTAATAGGAGGTACTTCAAAGGCTGGTCCATAAATAAGAACTGAGTAATAGGGATGCCGGGGTGAGCACTGGGGGGTCATTGAGCACCTGTGGCTGGAGGACCGAGAGGGGGTACCTGAGCTTTCCCGGCCCAGGAACGCCTGAGCAAAAATCTCGCCAACCCAGGCCTGCAGCTCCATGTCCTGTTGCACATACGCATCGCTGGGATAATAGTAGCCCACGATTTCTGAGACAAAGCTGTAGGAAAGAGATGCCCAGATCAAGGCTGTGACCTCAGGCTCAGGCTTGACCAGAAAACCAAGGCCCAGTGCCACTCAGGCTGGGGAGAGACAGACAGCCAGGGTCCACTGAGAGCCCACAGTGGTTCAATGAGAACGCCCAGATACAGTTGGAAGGCAAAAGCCCAGGCTTCCCTCAAGTTTTACCCCAGAGTCATGGGGGCTCTGAGCCTCCTTCCCATGCAGGGGGTTGGGGGTAGGGTACACCAAGGACGGTCTGTCTGACTCATGCTGCCACCCCTTCGCACTCAGCACAGCACCCAGGAGAAAGGAAGACCTGCCTGTCTGGAGGCTCCAGTCCACACCTAGCTGTTGGATCTGCCCTGACTCCTGTGGACACCCCGTCCTTCCCTTCCTCCACTGCATTCATGCACAGCCAGCCCCGTCCCAGCCCACAGCTACCTGCCATTTCATAGGGAAGCCCAGCCCCAACTCTCATTCTTCGGATGCTCCAAACGGCCTGAGAACACCGGAACCCCTAGCACCAAGTGCCCAGCTTACGTGAGCACGGGGCTCCACAATGCCCCTGTGTCAAGAGGCCCTGATGGGGCCAAATTAGCTGCCCAGTCCCAGGTACACACCTCTCAATGGCCGCCCAGATCTTCAGGCCGTCGTCTCGGTAATAGTAGTTGGGGATGGCCAGGACGCCGCGGGCCCGCAGGCTGTCCGGAAGGCAGAAATTGGTGTAGGTGAAGTGGGCCAGACCCGTGCTTATGAGGTAGAGAAGGCCTTGCCTCCCGATGGACGTGACCTGAGGACAGAGCACAGCTCGGCTTCTTCCGCGCCGGCCCAACCCCCACCCCATGGCTTGGGGGCATGGGGCTACTGACTGATCAGAGGGGATCAGTTGATCAAACACTCCAAGACCACGGATCAAATACCTATAAGGGTCTGATGCGCGCTGCGGAGATTCCGGCCCTACCACGTGCATAGGAAGTAACCCTTAGGTATTTGGTAACTAAGAGAACAACGAACTGACGGCGGGGAGGAGAAAGCTGGTTCGGCGCAGGGTCAAGCCGTGGAGGGGGCTCTGTGATCCAGCTGTTTGCCCTGCCCACCTCAAGGAGCCTTTGGAACCTGGGCCTGAGTGGGTGGGGCCTGTGGATGGGGTGGTGGGCAGGGCCAGGGGTTGGTGGGCGGGGCAAATATGAGACTGGAGGGCGGGGAGGGGCTTGTGGGGGAAGGCTGGCAGAGACCATAGAATAGTATTGGAGGCTGTATAGGGCTTGTAGGCGGGGCAAAGCGCACTTGGGAAGGAGCTTCAGAGGCGGGGCGGGAAGGCCGCACCTTGTCCACTAGGCCTTCAGGGTTGAGCAGCGTGGCCCGCGCGATGGTGTTCACCTGCAGCGTGTATCGAGTGTGGGGAAGCAGGAGCTGCAAGCGGGATGAGGTCACAGGAGCCGAAGGTTAGGGGAGAAGGCCGCCCTGACCCCGCCCCCTCTGTCCCCGCACGGGGGCCGCACAGACCTTATAGATAGGATGGCAGAGAGGCAACTGACGCAGCGTGGCCATGGCGAAGGCCTCGCACAGTAAATGCGTGCACAAAAAGTGCGTGTTGTTCTCGTGCACCAGGAACTCAGAGTTGCGCACCCACGTCTTGGCCAGCAGCCAGTCCCAGTCAGAGTCAGTGGGCAGAAAGATGGGGTTATCTTGCCCTGGGGTCTGGCTGAGCTGCGACCAAGGATAAGAAGGAAGTGAGGCTCAGGAGAGCCAGTGTGCCCCCTGAAGCCCCGCCCCCGAAGCCCCGCCCCAGGCCTCACCTGGATGGCCAAGGGCACCAGCGCCCCCTGGGGATTGAGCCACAACAGGCAGAGCGGGGCGGCCACGTACTGCTGGCGGCCGTTGAGGCAGTGGACCGGGGCCTCCGCCAGGATCCAGTAGTCCGCCATGAAGATGTTCCCCCTCTGCGGAAGGCGCACAGAGGCTCAGAGTGCCCTCCCCACCCGCGCTTCGCTTCCCTCTGTTCTCGGCCCACTTCCACCGCAGCTTGGGCCTCAAGAAATGCTTGGTGCCTGCCCTAATGGCGAACGCTGGGTTCCTCACCCTTCCCAGAATGTCCAGAATGAGGTCCTGCTGAATCCCTCTTGTGCAACCCCTCACCTGGCCTCCCAGCTTGGACCAGCGAGCGTCGTCTCGCCCTCCCCCTCTACCTGGTCCTTCCCACTCTCTCAGAAACCCTCAGTGTATCCAAACAGCAAAATCAACACACGGCGAAAATTCACCAAGCATATCTCCACCCTTCTGGAGGATGCCTGAGGGCTTGGCTGCCCCAGAGAGATTGGCTCAGTCATCGTCCACACCCTCAGAGCTGCTAGTTAACACGGTTGTTCTTGCTGGATCTGGTGGCACTGCCTTTGGCCTGTCCTATAACAACCTTTGTTGGGCCTCATCACCTGGGATCTTGGAGGCCCCAGAACACAAGTGGGGCCTCCTTCTCCAGGCTGTCCTGCCCATTCATACCACTTCACCAAGCCCCATCTCAGGCCTCAAGTCATCCGGAGCCCCATCTGGCCCTCATTAACACTGGTTCTACTTAAAAGGCACAGGACCAGGGCTGCCCAGAGGGTGAGGCCCACACGTTGGATGCAGCCCTGGCCATATCCCCTTACCTTCCACACCCATCCCTTTCCATATGGCAACTCACCCACCTCTAGCTCTGTCTGCAGGCAGGTTCCTGGTCCCAGTAAAGGGGCCACCATGTTATTGGTGACAGGCAGTTTGCTGGGCAAGCTGGAGAGGCAATGGAGCATGACAGGATTGACACCATTCAGGTACTGGTACCCAAAGAAGCAGTCCTCATACCAGTGCTCTGTGACATACTCTAGGAGGCAAGAGAGGGAGGCTGGTAGGACTGAAAACTACTTCTCTAGATCCTGCTTCTGCCCAGCCTTCTGCTCATCACTATGGCTTAGGTCAAAGAGATGGTGTGACTTGCTCAGTTGAGTGGCAGTGCAGGGATTTGAACCTAGGTCTGGATCTGAAGTTCACAACTTTTGGTGCTGTGGGTAGGGGAAAAGAGGAGAGTGCCCCTGATCAGGATCAGGACTCCCTAAATGACGTGACCCTCTGCCAGGCCAGCAGAGTACGTCTCTGTCCTCACTTCCCTATATTTTTCCCCCCACCCAGAGGAAGGGGAGATGCATGGGTTCCTGAGGGGAACCTATGAAATTGCCACCAGTGAAACCAGGAGCACTTGCTGAAGGAATCCAGAACAGTGGAAGAGGCCCTTTCCCAGGAGGGGGCAGAGGGGTTTGAGCACTGGGCAGGGTGGGAGACAGATGTCTCCTGCCTGGGTCTGCACACCTGAGGTGAAGGTCTTGTGGCACCAGAAGATGTTACGGATGTCATCCAGCTTCTTCCAAGAGCCTTTGCGGTCTAGCAGCCCTCGAAGCTTCATGCCCAAGGACCTGAAGGGGAAGGGTGAAGTTCAGGCCAGAGGCACTGTGCCCCCAGCCTAGAGGCCTTGGGGGACCTGTCAATGCCCAGAGCAGAGGTGCCTAACAATCCCCCTGGGAGAAAAGTCTAGTGGCCAGTTGAGGCTTTGTAGGGGTGACTCCACATGTGCATTTGGCGTATGTGGCCACATGGTGCAGACAAATCAGCTTCATTGGCCTGCTTTCTCCAAGCTTCCATCTTGTCGTAGACCTTCCCTGCCTGCAGGTCAAAGCCCCAACTGGTAAGGTTGGCCAGGAACCTCCATCCAGTTTCTACCATCCTTTCCAGCTTTTTCTCCTACCCTATGCACTAGATAAGGCCAACCATGGCCTTCTCACTAAATATAACCAGAGATGTACTTTGTACACTGACTGGCAAAAGTCCAGTTGGCAGCCTGGGCTGTGCACTTTTCACTTTGTGGATGTCTGGAGTGTTTGCATATTTTACAATGAGCATGTGTTATTTACAATCATAAAAAAACACTTGAAATGAAGTCTGCTTTCCCTACTTGTTCAATGTTTTAAGCTGTGCCTCTCCTAGAAAGTGATCTCCTACATCTCTAGTGTCAAGCCTATCTGTTCTTGTGTGTGCATCTTAGATGCAACATCCTTCATGAAGTATGGCCTGATGCCCCCCAAACACATACCTCATGTGCCTTTCACAAAAAGCTCATCACTGCCTGCATTACACTGTAAACTCAATGTACTCATATCATCCCCCATTGTACTGTGGGCTCCTCAGGGCCAGGACTGGGCTCTGTACCCCCAACATATCCAGTTCATAATAATCACTCACTAACTGGGTCAGATCAAAAGCAAGGGAATGAAACATAAACATCTAAGTGTGTGGCAACTGCTCAGTCAAGCAGGCTGTGTAAGGAAGCTGATGTGCCATGAAGAGTGTGGCCCTTGGGGTAGGGAACATTAATGACCTCGCAAGCCCAGGGACACCTTCCTATGTGTCCACTAAGCTGCTCCCTCCTCACTCCACAGCATTTGCTGAGCTCCTGCCCAATAAGGACCTGGGGATGGGAAACGGGCAGAAGAGCGGTGGTTAAAGCAGAGGCTGAGGAGGCAATAAAGGAGAAAGGACAAGTCTTCCCTTTCCAAGGGCCTGCCACAAAAGCCCTTCAGAGCACCCTGTAGTTGCCCTACACTAAAGCCCAACTACTGCCCCTGGATGGCTGCGAAATGCCAGCTCCCTCTTCCCACTGGCTTTTCTTTGAGCCCCATGCAGGCAGTCCTGGTGGTCCCCCAGGCCCTCACTTTCCTAGACCTGCATATCCATCTGGGGACCAATTCAGGTGACTGCCTTCTGAGATGTTCTCTGGTCCCTTAGCCCTGACAGAGCCTCAGCTGTTGAGCTAAGCTGCTGATGACCCCTCTGATTGCTAACTGCTCCAACTGCTAAGACAGTCATGCCCGGTCTCCCCCATGGCACTGTGAGTTCCTCACGGCTGAAGACTCTATCCTAATACTTAACAAAAGATGTACTCAGTGACATCTTTTGGGAGAGTATTTTGTGCTGTGTGTTATCTCATTTAATTCTCCCCCAAGCCCATGGGGTACGTACAACTATTACTGTTATTCTACAAAGAAGGAAACTGTTTAGAGAGAAAGAGGAAACCAAAGAAGTATTAGTTCTGGAATTTGAACCTGAGGTGGTCTGACCCCACTTCCTTAAAGCTTACGGGCTAGACCTCTATGTCCTACTCCACATGATCCCATGGTCCCACGGTCTGCACAGAGTAGGTGCTCAATTAACTGTATTGGTTTGAAGAATAAAAAGAGAAGGGATGACAAAGGAGCAAAGAGGAGGAAATGGGGAGATAGAGAATGGAGTTCCCTAAGGAGAGAAAGGGGGAACCTGAGGGCAGAGAGGAGGAGATGGGGGGCAGGAAAGGGGGACTTCAGGACAGAGGTGTGCATGTGCATCCAAGAAGCAGAGGCCAAGGCACAGGAGTGCAGGGAATGGCAGTGTCCTCACGCAGGGATGGCATTGAAGAGCAGCGAGGTCGTCTTTGTGGCTGAGTAGCGAATATTGGGTTCCATGTGCAGCAGGGATGGGATGTCAATTTTCATGGGGAAGCCAGGCAGGTACTGGTTCCCACCACTGGGAAGGAGGGAGCAGAAGGATGGAAACCAGTCAGAGGGACCTGCAGCCCACTCCCCTAAATCCTTGCCCTCTCTCCAGGCCCCAGGCCTCCTCTAGCTCTGGGTCCCCTCCCAAACCCCGACTGCTGTGGGCTTAGGCCTGAAACCACGTCCTCCTCTCTCCCAGACTCCTGGGGCCATCCCCACCCAGTCTGTTCCTGCCACTTGAATTAAACTTCACATGTTATAGATCCCACTCCTCCTTCCAGGCTGCTTGGGCCCCATCCTCCAAGCAAACTTCTCTTCAGGCCCTTCACCTTCTTCCCAAGCCTGAGGGTTCCCTCACCTGTCTCCCTGGTCTGCACAAGGTGTCCTCTTGGTCAAGGCAAATTTCTTGTCTGACTCCATCTCCTCAAAGCTGCTGACATCCACAATGCCAGGAAGGCCAGGGGCATAGACTTTCCAGCTTCCAGGCAAAAGAAATCAGAAGCAGTGAGCCAAACTTAGGGTAAACATAAACCTTAACTTTTAAAGACATGACTTTAAATTAAAACTCCCATAAGTCACCCACTTTCTGGGTACATTATGAAGATTTGGAAATTTCTCCTTGAAGGCTTCAGATCGGGATAGAATTTAAGGATGACATGAATGTCCAGGCTGGTTTAGAGCTGGGTTTGTGTTAAGACTAAGATCATGGCCAGTTTGGGGGTGAGGCTGAGAATGGGCTGAGATTGGTCAGGACTGGGGGCCCATCTGCTACCTGGTCACATCAAAGGCAGCCGGAGGTTGGGTGTGGATTCATTGATGGTATCAGGACAATTGTTAGTACTGGTGTTCTGCGTCTGGACTCAGAGTCAATATCAGATTGAAATTAGGGTTAAATGAAGGTCTTGATCAGAGTTGGGTCCCCACGGTTGGAACTGAGGTCAGAGTTAGTAACAGTCTGGTTAAGGATGAGGTCAGAATAAAGATGAGGAAAGAAGTTAAATTAGGCCACCCTTACCGGTAGCATTCCTGTCGGGCCTGGAGTTCCCGATTCCTATGATCCAGAAGGAGGGGAAGGGAGTCCTGACAAATAGTTCTTGCTATGGAGAAATGAAAATTACTCATCGTACAAGTCTTTTTTCAAACAACACCTCCTCCATCAAAGTTTGCCTGAATCTCCTAATCCTTGAACCCAGTCCCTCAGGGGCATGGATTCCGCATGTTCTTTGTACGTTCCTCAGCAGAAGGGATTCAGACCAACCTCATCCCAAACTTAAAACAATCTTCTTAAATGTTTGCATGTTTGTCTCCTTTCTAAAACTAAACTATTTGGGGACAGGAGTCACATTATATTCACTTTATGTAACCCCAGCATCTAGCATGGTGCTCGGGCACAAAACATGCCCTCAACAAATGACGATAGTGAGTATATTTTGTGAAGTGATAAATGGACATGCTATGATGAAAGAGGAGGGTTTAGAGGTCTATGAAGAACTTGCCACAGGCTGAAGGGTAATTCACTCTGCTCACCTTAACCTGGAGCATCAGCTCTCATCCCTAAGACTCAACATTCAGAGCAGCCTTAGCCTTGCCTCTTTGATCAGACAGCTCAGGAGATATGGGGCTCCAGAGGCTGAAGGAGCTTGAGCCCAGCATCCTTGAAAGACCCCCAAATTCAAGAAGGATTCCTAATAGCATCTCACAGGAACTTCATCCATGACAGAAAAGCCAGTGGTGGTCAAAAGGCCCTTTCCAGTCAAAGTCTCTCAATATTCAGGGCTTCTCCACCTGTTGAAATCTAATTACTCAGTTTGCAAGTTAATTCCTCTCCAGGCTCCAGAGGAATTCACTCTGGGGAAGTGCAGAGACCTTCAGTGGAAAGCAAACCATATCTGTGTGTGTTTGTGTCTATGAATGGTGTGAGTATTTGTGAATGTGTGTGTCTCATCTCTGTGTGTCCAGGGGATAAATACTGCCCAGAAAGGCAGAGGCTTTCAGAGCTTCCAGAGGCTCACCTTTTTCAGGAAGTATCTACTTGGGATCTCTGAGTTCCAGTTAATCTAACCTCAACTATATTCTGTACACCCTGTGCTCTGCGAGGCCCCATCCCTAATCCCAACAGATGCCTTCTGCAGCACAGGCCAGCCACTGCCTCTGGCCCACCTGTTCCAGGTCGCAGCTCTATGGTGCAGAAGCCCTCAATCCACTGATAGCAGGGGAAGTGGGAAAGGGTACCATCAGGGGCAGTGACACAGATGCGACTGCAGTACCAGGAGTCCTTGGGGAAGAAAGCATAGCGCTCCTTGTGTAGACGCAGCAGCAGGAGCTCACCCAACTCCGCTGAGCAGCGTACCTTGTACTTCTGCACCTGAGGAGACCAAGACAGTGAGCAGGTAAGAGGCAAGGAACTGCTAGAGCCATCCTTGCACCTTGCAAGGTGCATCTACACCCATGCCGATTCTGACATATAAACCTGAGTTGCCACTAACCCATGTGGTGCTTTTGTATGAATTAGAAAAAGCAGCCAAGCAGGAGTAGCCACAGCTTCCACAGGCACTGTGTGTGAGCGGAGTGGCTTCTGGATTTCACCAGTCTCCCTGGCTGCCCACACCCATGTGGGCAGACAATACTGGGGCCTTGTAGAGGCAGGCAGAGAAGAGGAAACCCAAGCTCAGAGAGAGCAGGCAACTTGCCCAAAGCCCACCTTCAATTATGGGAGAAGATAGGAAGCCAGAGGAATTCTCCTGACTTCCTGCTCAGGGTTCCTTCTTCCCAGCCCTGCCTAGGTAGGGCTTATCATCCCTAGTAAAGACAGGGACCAGAATAGGAAGGAGGTGGGTGGGCACCCAGAGTTCTGCAGAATGTGATGAGTCCCGGAGGAATTACCCTCCCCTCCTCCAGGGTCCCCTCCCCGCCGGCCCTTCCAGGGCTTGCTCTTCCCTCTCTCCTCTGTACTCACCGATCCAGTGGCGAAGTCCCTGCCCACTCGATCCAGCAGCTGCTTCGGGCTTTCACCACACGTGCCCACCAGTGTGACCAAGATGTTGTCCAATGTGCCGGCCATCAGGTAGGGACCAGTGGTCACACACACGCGGTACACGGCCATGATGGGAGGGAAGAGGGGATGCCCTCCCCACCCCCAGCGACGTTGGCCACAGCAGCAGCTCCCCTGGAGGAGGTGAGAGGCAGGCCAGGCAGGGCTGGGCTGCTGAGCCCCTGGATGGGGGTTGGCAGCGCAGGGTTAGCTTCTGAAGAAGGGCCAGATCTCTCAGGGATGCTCCTGGGCTCTCTCTCTCTCTCTGTCTCTCTTCCCGGAACTCACTGCCGCTGTTCATTGAGGGCTCCCTCTCCCCGCCCACAGCCTTGAGCCCTAATAGTTGTTTGCTTGTCTCTGGCACAGCCGCTCCCTCTGGCTGACTGGACAGGGCTCACCCAGCTATCAGGAGCCTGGGTCGCACGGAATGGGAGGGGCCAGATGCTCCAGAAAAGAAGTTGGTGACGCCTGTATGATTGGGACATTGCCCTCCTCTTGGTCATGGGCCGCCTGATGCCCTGGGGTCCTTGTCCACCCACTCCCCAATTTCCTCTCAAGACCGTTTCCTCCTCTCTCTCTCAGCCAGAACCCGGCACAGGGCACCTGCATTTCTACTTGTGCATCACCCATGTGAATCACTATACACAAGGAGCCACACTCGACTATAATTCACACGTGACACAGCCACACGCCGGTGAGTTGCACACGCATCCCTGTACACTGCATGGGGGTCAGAAACAACTCTCCTGCCACCTCCCACCCCTCATCCCCGACACTCTGCACTACCATCCCCACGCCCGGCTCCCAGTGTTCCCGGTCTTAAGTACGCCAGATGTCGGTCTCTCCCTTGGAATGGGTCGGTCAGGAGACCGAAATCGGTTCCAGGCGTACAGCGTCTTTAGTCCCCATGGTGCATTCATTTCGCTCCGGGCCAGCCCTCCGCCGTTGAGGCTGTGGACCGGAGCGGGGATGCCGGGGTGCCTAGAATCCGGGTCCTCAAGACAAGAATCCCTCCTCGAGGGAAGCCTCCAGCCGGCAGCTGTCCCGCGCGGCCAGTCCTGGTACTGCATCGTCCCCGCTTTCGCGGCGTTCCATTCACAATGGCCCAAACTGGGCTGGGGATGTCCCCGAACGAGACCGAGAAAGCGCAGTCTGGAGCAGCGAGGCTCCAGCTGCTTCCTCCTGATTTGTCCTGCTGTTCTCTAAACAACCATGTGCAATTTACACTTGATTCAATCAGGCAAAACTTTCGTAAGTAAAAGCTTCTTATATCTAGAAGTGCAACATCCTTCTTAGGGCCCGGATAGCTCAGTCGGTAGAGCATCAGACTTTTAATCTGAGGGTCCAGGGTTCAAGTCCCTGTTCGGGCGTATGCTGATGTTTTTCTACGCAATTATTTTTAGTACCATTAATGTTTATATTATTTCGAACAAAACAACGGAAAAGAGTGACGAAAGCACTGTTGGTTTAAAAGTGAATCCGTGATAAGCGCCCCAGGTTTTAATTTTCAGAAGGTAGAACGAATAGCAGTAAAGGGAAAGTAGAGATGTTTTTTGTAAGCGAATTTGAATTTTCTAGCAACCACATTAAAACAAATAGAAACAGGCAAATTAACTTCAATAACATATTTTATTTTATCCAACCCAATAAATCCGAAATCGTATACTTAACATAGAATCACTATTTTAAATTTCTTAGTGAAATTTTCAGAATCTTCTTGTACTGAGCCTTTTCAGTATGGTGTGTATTTTTCACTTACAGTACATCTCAGTTCATATTTCAGGCGCTCTATAGCGATGTTCATTCTGACAACTATTTTCACTCTGTTTTGTCTTCCATACGTGGAGAGGTGAAGAAACACACAAAACAAGAAGTTCAATAATACGTATATTCTAGAAAAAGGTAACCGCCGAAGGTTCCATGGTGTAATGGTTAGCACTCTGGACTCTGAATCCAGCGATCCGAGTTCAAATCTCGGTGGAACCTTGAATTTTGCTTTCACATAATATCATTATGTTCTATTAAGTAACATTTCATATGTGAGACTGTCTAATGATCAGACAGGATCTGAAAAGAAAAATTAGGGTACTATTTTCGAACTTTTCAGACGGGGTGACTGGAGCCTCTAAGATACTGTCAGGAGAAAATACAGTAAGTAAAATATGCAGCAAGTTGTGCAAATTTTAAGAAATACTATTATTTGAGAACATGTTTAAGTGTATACCATTTATGAAGAATTTAAGGTTACTTCGGTAGTTTCCATGAGGTTTTGGTTTGGGGTTGGAATGCCTTTAATCTGGAATATCACAGAAGAAAGGCAGTGGTGAGACTGCTAACGAGGAGGCGACATAAAATTAAGAACATAGACGAAATATCTTCCTGAGTCACACGGTAAACAACCCCCAGAAAAACTCTGGCCTGGCAGCGGTGGGATTCGAACCCACGCCTCCGAAGAGACTGGAGCCTAAATCCAGCGCCTTAGACCGCTCGGCCACGCTACCTGCGTGGAAAAGGGGTGTTTTTGTAGTCTTCGTAAGAGACTTGACCGAACAACTAAACTAGAAATATTTCTGGCAAATCAGCTAGTCTATGAGAATCTCCAAGACTCTAGACCGCGGAGCAGTGAATGGCAAAGCAGACAGACCAGAGGAAACACACACGTGGGAATTAACAAAGAAAATTTATTTTGATGGGTGGGGCCGCATCTGGGGGTGGGGTGCTCCTGGACTGGAAGCATCCCTCAGGCGGGCAGCCGGAACTCCGTACTCGCTTTCTTGCTCATATTCGGTTTCTCTCCGTTTCTTCGACCCAAGAGCGCCCTCACTCCCACCAGGCCCAGGTGCATTTCGCCCGCTACCTCTCCCACTCCCAGACTGTTCTTAGTTCCAAAATACGCGCTCATGGCTCGCCCCGCCCATTTCCCTCACACCCCTACCCCTTCTTTTGCCCCCTTCCCAAGCGAGTACCCGGTAAGCCGTCAGCCGCCGCCGCCCGCCAGGTGGCTCTGTGGCGCAATGGATAGCGCATTGGACTTCTAGTGACGAAAAAGCGATTCAAAGGTTGTGGGTTCGAATCCCACCAGAGTCGATTTTATTTCAACTTTTTTTTCCCCGTCTTTTTTACGTGGCTTTTTCCTAAAGGCTCCCATTCCTCCACCCCACCTACCCTATCTCACTCAATGTTTTCCACCTAATTTCAATTTCAACCTCAGTTTCCGCTCTGCTCTCTTCTTTTACTTACCTGTCTGCCCCGGGGCTTGGGCCTTGGAGAGCAAGACTGAGGGGCGGGAGACAGAAGGAGAGGGCAAGTGGGCGTGGACGCCGAGATAAAGGCAGGCCCCTGGCTCGGGGACACACGGGGATTTAACAACCACTTTATTCCATGCACTAGGGACTCGGGAAGGGGCTGGGCCTGGGCCAGGGCCAGAGAGGGTACAATCCTAGACGCAAGAGGGGCAGGGAAAAGGGACAGGAACCAGGGAAATATATATTTATATAGATACTCTAATATAGACCACATCTCACCCGCGCGCTACGTCCGCGCGCCCCGCCGCCCTCCCCAACACCTCCAACGCCCGGGTCCCTCTGCTGCCCTCGGGCTGGAGTCTCTACCTCACCCCTAGACCCCGCCTCCAACCACCCAAAGCTCAGGGCCAAGGTCTCCAGAAAGCGGGCGGCGGGGGCGGCGGGGCCTTGGGCGCCCCGTCTTGTCTGTGAGGCGGCGGTGGCGGCGGCAGCAGTCCGGTGAGGGGCGCCGGCGCGCCGGAATCCCCGGCGCGAGGGGAGCAAGGGGACGGGGACCATGCGCAGCGCGGGCTAGGGGGGCCCTGGTGCACTGCGGGGCGCTGGTGCAGCGCGGGGCCAGGAGCCGGGGCGGCGGGGTCCAGCAGCGGGCGCGGCGCTTGGGGCCTCGGATCTACCGGTTCCGGCCGAGGCGGCTTGGGGCGCAGGTAGCCGTGCAGCGCGGAGAAGAGCTGGACGCGGGCAGCCGGGCTGGCGTCGTGAGCGAAGGCCGCCAGGCGAAGTAGGCATTCCCGGAAGCCGGACAAGTAACAGCTGGCGAGCGCCTCGGCGTCCTGGGCTGGGGACCGGGGGACCCCTGGAGCCGCGGCGGCGGGAGCGGCCGGCGGGAGGACGGGCGGGCAGGGCAGGGGCCCAGTAGGGGTGAGGGAAGGGGCGGGGCGCAGAGATACCAAGGCCCGACAGACGCACAGAGACAGGAAGCCAGACGGACGGACAGAGGGCGAAATAGAGGGAGACACAGAGACAGACACGCGGGGGTGTTATTAACCTCGCCTCGGGGCAGAGCCTGCCACAACCCAAGCCCACCGTCCACCGCAGCGTCCGCCCCCTCTACCCCGTCCCGGGCCTCCTTGAAACCCCCCTCTCTCCCGCCGCTGCCCCACCCCCGCGCTGTACCCGGGGGCTCCACCCGGCTTCGCTCCCTCAAGTAGCCCACGGCGAACTCCAGTATCTCTGCTTTCTCCAGCTTCGGGTTCCGGAGGTTCTACAGACAGGAGGGGAGGGCGCAAAGACAGAAAGGGGTGGGGAGAGAGGGGGAAGTGACAGGGGGAAGAAGGGAGGGGGATAGGGAGCTGGGGGTGCCCCCCGGATCGTGTTTGCGCGCTGCCCAGAGAGCACACAACGAAAAGCGGAGTGGAGATGACCAAGAATGATCATGCAACACCCAGAGACGAAACTGTCCAACCGGAGGAGATGAAACCAACCCACAGTGTGAGGAGGGGGTTTGAAACAGCAAACCCGGAGCGTGAAGCAAACCACCCTGCGGACGTTCTGGGAGGGGAGGGGAGGTGGGGTGGAGGGGAAGAGGAGGGAGAATTCACAGACCCAGAGGTTGAAACTGATGGACCCTGGGGGTGAAATTTACAGAGCTGGGTGTGAAACTTACAGACCCGAGCCGCGAGGCCTTGAAGATCGCGTGCTGAGAGCGAGAGGGGGTCTGGGTTGGGACTCCAAGGGCGGGACTCGGGTCAGGATGCGTTGGGGCCAGGGTCGCCAATGCAGCAAATGTCCCCACCCCAGTGTCAAGCCCTGGGACACGAGGACGGGATACTGGGAGGTCGGGGGCCAGCGGAAGGACTGACCTGGTCCCGGGTCCGCTCCAGCAGCAGCAGCCTCAGTTCTTCCAGGCTGCGGTTGATGCGGTCCCGGCGCCGCTTCTCCACAAGCGGCTTCAGCATCTGCGACCAGCAGGAAAGGGAGAGCGGGCCGACCCGACCGACACTCAGCGCGGCCGCGCCGGAGTTGGACCCTGGATCCCGCGGCTGGGATAGTCCCGCCTCCACCCCTTCCCCAAGACTCCGGAGAGCCCAGGGCCGGGCCCGTTCGATCCCTCTCCGCCGCTCCCCCTCCCAACGTCCCTAGGGTCAATTTCTGTAGCTCGCCTCCTCTCTTTCCCGGGTCTTCCGTATTCTCCTCTCTCAGTCTTGTCCTCCCTCCTCCCCTGTCTGTGTCACTCCTCCTCCACCTCTTTTCTTTCTACGTCTCCGTCTCGTGCAGTCTCTCTCTGTCTCAGTGGAGAACTTTGGGGACCCTCTTTGCGCCCGACACGAGGGCCGCAAGGTGCCGGGCTCAGAGTTGGCGGCCCTGAGTGTAGAAAGGGAGATACCCAGCCCCACCGCGCCTCTTCTCCCTCTAACCGGTCTATGCGGTCACCCCTCTCCACTGGTTCTAAAACCTTCCACCAGGTCTCGGGCTTCTGGAACCAATACCCTCCGGGCCCTCTCTTTTAGGCTGCATTGGGCCAGCTCCGGCTCACAGCCCGTGTGGAGCACGGCCGCCTTTTTTCCCCCACCCTCCTCCCTTATCTCTGTATTCTTTTTGCTTATTTTACTCAAACTCCGGCCCCCTCCCACACCCTTCCAGGCCGCAAGGTGCCAACTCCCATTACCCAAACCCCAGACCTCCGCTTCTGCCGCCCACGCAGGTCCTGCTCTGACCCTGTCCCCTTCTTCACCCTTTACAGTTTACTCCCCAGCTCCTGCTCCTTGGGTTCCCCCACGCACCTCTCCCCCTTCCAGCCCTGCGTCTGGAGCCTCCAGCCTCTTCCCCTGACCCACGGTCTCCTGACCGGACCAGGGACCTCTGCTCCCTCCACTCCCGCCTCTCACCTTGGGGCCGTCCCTATTCTCTGCTCGATCCCGGGTGACCATCGCTCCTCCGGACCCTGATGTGGACTAAGTCCCTACTCGCCTTGCGCCTTATATCCCGCAGACTCCCGGGTAGAAAGGGTAGGACCTGGACCCGCCCCTTCGGCACCCGGATCCCGCTAGGCAGGGCCCAGGGCACGAGGCTCCCGGAAAGGGGAGGGGCGCAAGAGGGTGGGATGGAGGGAAGGAGTAGAACTGGCCTGGGAGTGTGGGAAACGAGGGACCAATGCAGCCCCGGCTGCTTTAAGAACCGTAAGGCTGTATAATGAGGTGGGACCCAGCTGAAGGGAGGTGGTTGTTAGGGGGAGAGGGAGTTCGAGTGATCTGGGGACAGAACTCAGGAGTGAAGCCCCCCAACCTCCATAATTGCAGTTTTCTCAGAAGCTCATTGTAACCCACCAACCCAGACATTAGTTAAGACCCCTCAACCCTCAGACTGGAACATACACATCTTCCCCTAAAATCCGCCTCCTGCTTGGGACAGGGAGCGGCCCGAGTGTTCTGGGCGGACCGGTGTAGTTCAACTAGGGCCCTTCCTAGGGATGGAAGAGCTTTGCTCAACCCAAGTCAGTCATATTCGATTCCCCCAACATCTGCGCGCTCATTGTGTGCATCGGGTCACTGGGTTATGCTTAGGCTGTTCATACTGAGATATGCACTAGAGGCTCAGTTTATCCCTGCAGGATCTAGTGAAAAAAATGATGTGTTATCAAGTAGCTATTATAGAAACAGAGTAAAAAGTAGGTGCCTCAAGAAAGAGTCGTCCTGAGAGATGGCTGGACTGAGGTTGGGGTAACTTCTAGGAAGAGGAAGCAACAAGGCTTTGAAGCACGGAACAGAAGTGGAGAGATCTTTCCACTTAGAAGTATTTGATTAAAAACTAATTATAGGAGATTCGGGTGTATAGCTGCCAGGACAACTGACACGTAGTGCCCGCGTTACTTGCTCCTGGGGACCGCTCGTGACTGTAGGGGAGTAGGGTGTAAGCAGTTTTTTGGGGGTCAAGAAAGGGATACCAAAAAAAAAAAGGATCAACACCCACCTCAATCCAAGAGCATGACCCTCTGTAGAATGATGCCTGAACACTCGGAGACTTCAGGACCAAGTACCTGAGAAGATAAATCAAAGATTTAACGGGACAGCAAGAATGCCAGGGTGAAGAACAACGAAAGACAAGATTGCACACCATCAGAAGATAGCTGCGGAGTCAGAGACGGATGGGGCTCCTCCAAGCCCTCCCAGTCAGTACACCTCCACACCTTTTTATTCCACCCCCCGACACCCCCGCGGAGCCTGCCTTGCCAAAGCCCAAGTATGAAAGGACACAGACTTGGAGAGGGCGCTCCCATTTGGGATCAGGGTCCCAGCACATCCCACCTCCCCCCTACCTGGACCAAATGGGAACACAGATGTGCGGCCCCAGCAGCCCGCGTCGCCCCCCTCCTTGGGAACCTGGGCTCGGGCTGAGTTTTTCTCACCTGCACGCGAGGCTTGCGGCCCCGGGCTGTTCGCACCCGGGTGTGGGGCCGCCCCTGGCCATATGGGGCGACTTTATGACGGGGTAGCCGGATCCGGAGGGGAGGAAGGACAGCCGGGTGCTCCTCCCACGTTAATTATTCCGGGTCATTCCTTCGTTGAGCCTGGCCTACACCGCCTGCCTGACCGCGTGGGTGCCTCGCTCACCCTCCTACAAGCTCGGATTAAAGACACAAAAAGCGATCTATCACTTGCATTGGTGGTTCAGTGGTAGAATTCTCGCCTGCCACGCGGGAGGCCCGGGTTCGATTCCCGGCCAATGCACAATTGATCGTTTTCTATTTTTCTTCAAAAAGGGGAGAACCTGATAACCTATTAAGGTTTAACACTTCCACTGAAGATTAGTTTTTAACTGTTTACTCCATCACAGAGTTTTAATCTGGATGAAGACCTAGAGTCCATCCGTTCCCACACCCCCTCCCCTGAGCCTGGGAGTGCTGGTGCCGTCCCCACCCCGCCCTCCGCCCCAGCCCCGCACCTCTGCAGGCGTGACCCTGAGAAAGGACGCGGCGCTCGGATCCCTGCCCCGGGGGTCCTCTCAGCCCTCCGCAGGGGAGGAGCGAGGTCTTCCCGCCCACGCCCTCTAAGCCTCCGGCTCTTCTTTCCGTCATTTCTCTTCCGCAATCTCTGTTTCCCGTTCTGTCTGGAGCGCCCTTTCTTTTTCTAAATCCATCTCTCTGTCTTTCTGCGTCCTGCGCCCCTGTTGGCGTCTCTCTCTCTCTGTACCTTCCACTTCTTTCTAGGTCTCTTGGCAACTCGGCTCTGGTCTCTCCGCGTCTTCAGGAGTCTGTCTGCATCCCCAGCCCCGGGTCTCGGCTTCTCCGTGCCTCTCGGCGCCTGCGTCTCTGTCTCCGCTGCCCCGCGTCTGTGGATCTCTCGTGGTCTCTCCGGGTCGCTGTCGCCTCCCGGCCCTCTGCGCTCCCACGCTCCCACGCTCCCGCCCGCCCTGGGAAGCTCACTCACACCTCCGGGTTCCTGCCGCCTCCCGCCGGCCCTTCCCGGCCCCTTTGATCCCGCACGCGTCGGGCGGCGGGCGGCCGGGCTCCCCCGCCGGCTGCGCGGTCACTTGTGAGCGGGGGCGGGGCGGCCGGGCTCCCCGGCTCGCGCGCTGGTTTTCCGCCCTTCTCCGGCGTCTTAGGCCTTCCCCCGCGCCGCTTCTCCTGGCTTGTCTACGGCCGCTACCCGGGCTTCTGCGGGCCCGGCTCTCTGGTCCGCTGAGTCTGGTCTCCGTCTGAGTCCGTCTCGGCCTCTGTCTCTGGAACTCGCCCTGGGCCTATGTCTCTGAGCTTAGTTAGATTCTGTCTGCTGACTCGTTCAGGCTCCGTTTCATGTGGGCCAGTGTCTGGGTCTTTCCTTGTCTCTGGGTTGTGTCAGTGACTGGGAATGCTCTCTTCTTAACTCAAAGCCGTGGCAGTGGCCCCCAGAAGGAAACTACAACAATCTGGGCGTCTGTGTGTCTGTGTGTGTGCATAGCCACTGTATTATTAACGTAGCCGATACTTATGGAGTGCCTCCTGTGTGCCACGTATTGTTGGCACCGAGGGTACATGGGCCTGGGCTTCCCTGAAACTTACTATAAAGTAAGGGAGTAGGGGATAACTAAGAAAGCAGGAAATAATATAGGATGGCTATAAGGCTGGGGAGCAGGGCGGGGGGGGTGGACAACTGGACATGGCAATGACTTGAGCGTGAAGTGCCACTTTACTCTGGCCAGCTAGACAGCCTCTGTGAGGAGATGATATTGGAGACCAGCGCTGGCAGGAACGGGCTTCACAGGTGGGGAGCTAGAGAATCAGGGCCAGTGTTCCTGAACAGAGACTTTGGAGCAGGGCAAAGATAAGAACAGAGAGGCAGACATGCCCATCACACAGGGCCTTGGAGGTTCCTCGAAAGATTATGGATTTTAGTCTAAGTGCAGTGGAAGCGAGTGAAGGTTTTAATCAGGAAAAGTTTTATTCACTGGAGTTTTAAAAGATCACTTTGGCTTCTATGTGGAGAATGGAAGCAGGGAGATCATTTGAGTTGCTAGAGCAATCCTCTAGGCAACACATGAGGGTGGGTTGTACTGAAATGGTGGCAGAGAAGAGAGAAAGTGAATGGATTACTTCTAGGTTTGGGGCTTGAGTAACTGGGTAGATGGTAGTGCTTTTTTTAGGAAACATGGGGAAAGGAGACAGGAAAAGGTTTGGAGGAGAGATCAAACATTGTACTTTAGTCAGGTTAGTTGAGATTCCCTTAGACATTCAAGTGGAAGCTACAGGTAGGCCAGGCTATACAGAGTTTAGGGGTCAGAGCTAGAGGGTAAATATGGCAGAGTCATTGGGAGATAGATGGCTTTTAATGAGACTGGAGCACCTAGGGAAAGAGGAGTGGAGACAGAAGGCAAGGGGCTGAGCAAGGAGCCCTGGGGCAGCCCAGCACTTAGAGGAGGAAGGATTGGCGAAAGAATCCAGAATGATCAGAGGAACCACAGAAAAGCCAGGGGAGTAGAGGAGTGTCCTGGCAACCCAGAGAAGAGTATATGAAGGAGAGAGCAGTCAGCCCTAGCTAAGCTGCTGGGGGGTCAGGTAAGGAGAAGAGAGCGAAATAAGCATCCACTTTGGCATCTTGGAAGTCACAGATGACCTGGGGGGATAGTGACTGTGTGCAGTCCCACTCAAATAGTTCAGGTAAGAATGGGATGTGAAGACATGCAGACAGCAGCTGTGAACAACTCCAATGAGTTCTGCTGTGAACAGTGAGCAGAACAATGTGGGGTGGATAGGAACTGCTAGATGAGGGCTGCTAGAGAATGAATCAAGCTTATTGCTGGAGGGGAGTGAGCTACGGGTAATTTGAGGAGAAAGAAGATACTAAATGTTTATTTGGGAAAGTAGGAAAACAAACCTCCTAGGCTAGAAGAATATGGTTTCTAGACAAGTTGAGAGTCCCTTTGCAATGTGAAAATCTTTAATTTCAGAGGCCAATTCACCATGAAGCCAATAAAGTTTATCTTTCAGGGCCCCTCACACAGGCCCCTGAAAGGGGCCTGGCAACATATTCACATGGTCCTTTACTTCTGTAAATTTGCAAAAGTAAAACATTTATCTATAAGTGGTAAAGACCACTGTCTCTTTCCATTTGGCTTTCCCTCTGTCACACATTCCCCCTAGTGTCCAAATGGCTGTGGGCATTTTAGGGATCTGGTCATGGAGAAGGTGAGTTGAAGAGACATAAAATTTACGGGTTCATGAGAAATGTTAATGTGGTTTCCAGTCACTTCCATGTATAGTTAGTTAGCCTAGCTTTCCTTGTGTAGTAATGGCTTCCAGCAATGCACCCATCACCTGTGGCCAGTCACCAGGCTTCCTGCTATGAATGTGTAAAGCCAGAGGGCACAAGTGATAGGAATGCATCCAGTGGCTCTTGTCAGTCTAAGTACATGGATGTGAGGAGAAACAAGATTTGAAATATAGAGAGACAGTAGCTAGCCTGTGGAAAGCATTATAGAGGTGTGCAGGCAATCGATATGAACAAGTTAATTTTCTGGATGCTGGTATTTGTGGCATGTCAGCTTTTTCAATTTGTAAGTTATTGTGATCTCTTGTTTCACTCTAAATATTACTTTTTGTATCTAACTTTGTGTTATTTTCTTAAAGCCACCTCTCCCCCAAATTATATACTCTTCAGGTCCCCAAAACTTTACATTAGTTGGCCTGGCTGGGTGAGTTTCTCTGTGTAGATGTGGCCATGAGGGCATCTGCCCCACCCATCCCCAATGTTTTTGAGGGATCTCTCTGCAGATGACAGGCCTGTGTGTCAGTGTGGGCCTGTGTGTGTCGGTCTGTGGTTGTGTCTGTGAACATGGTGTGTGTATGGGAGCCTGGGCCTCCAGCCTCTTTCAGGCCTCCCTCTCACCTAGGCCGCATCTGGGCTTGGGGGTGGAGAGCTCGTGTCCCACACGCGCTGGGCCCCTACGGAGGTGGGAGGCGGGGAAGGAACTAAGAAGCACAGCTGGTCGAGTGTCTGAGCTTCCCCTCCCCCGCTGTGACGTCTCCCCAGGCCTAGGTTCCAAGGCTCAGCTCTTCCCTCTTTGTTCTTCAAAGGGAAGGCTAGTTTCCTGGAACCCCCTGGGTCTTGGGTCAGGGGAGTTCCTGGAGGATTGGGTCCTGGGGATTGGGGGTGGGGATGTAGAAGGACCAGGGCCCTGGGCCAAGGGAAGAATCAGGATAGAAGAACTCTATGTAGCCTGAACAAAACAGATGACGACCCCTGCCTCTATAGGTGGTACATTCTTGTGGGGGAAGCAGTCAAATGAACATTATACAAAACTTATTTGTCAGATGGTGATAAGTGCAATGGAGAAAAGTGAAGCAGGGAAGTGGAGCTTGGAAATTGTACTATTAGATGGTTTCATCAGGGATGAACTCATGGAGAAGATGAAATTTAAGAGGTGAGGGTGAAAGCTAACAGGGACACCCAGGGGAAGAACAATTCAGGCAGGGGCCAGCTAGCAGGAAGGAAGGCTTTGAGGGGTAATGTGCCTGACTTGTCAAAGTGACAGAGAGCAGCAAGGGGCAGGCATGGGCATGGCTGGAGTGGAGGTAGCAACTGCAGGACATGTAGCAAGTGCACAACATGTAGGAGACCTCTGTGATAAGGGAAGGCTGATCAGTAGAACCTTCTAGACCATCACAAGGACTTTGTCAGCATGCATTTATTTCTGAATGAGATGAAAAGCTATTGGAGAGCATTTCTCCCCTAGCTTTTTGGCTTTGTTTTGTTTTATTTTTGGCACTTATAATTTTTATATAATTTCAAACTTCCAAAGAAGTTACAAGAATAGTACAAGAAACTCTTGTGTACTCTTCCCAGGTTTATCCATTGTTTACATTTCCCATTTGCTTTATCTTTTCTTTCCAAATGTAATATGGATATCAAATCTGTTTTCTGAAGCATTTGGAGGTAAATTAGAAACATCAGGCTCTTTGCTCACAGTTACTCAGTGTGCATTTCCTAAGAACAAGGACATTCCTAACACAATAATACAATTATCAACATGATATTAAAATTAATACACAATTATTTAATCTTCAGCCCACATCTGCATTTTCTCAAGTGTTTCAATAACATCAGTTACAGTTCTTTTTTCCCAATCCAAGATCACAAGTGGCATTTAGTTGTTATGGCTCATCAGTTTCATTTAATTTGGTAGAATTTTTGTTGTTAATCCTCACGGTTGGAAGAGTTCAGGACTGTTATTTTGCAGAATGTCCTTCAGTTTGGTTTGTCTGAAGTTTCTCTATGAATAGATTCAAGTTTTCAGCCTTTTTTACCTATGAGCCCAGATTCATTTTAGTAGAGAATGGTAGTTAGTAACCAAGATCGGAGTACTTGGTGTGTTTATCTCTACTTGTGCATCATTCCTTCCAGGCTCTCTCACAGAGCTAGGAAATACATGTATGTGTATGTATTGTGTATGTACATGCATTTATTTATCTATAAACATTAAAAAACACGAACTCATATCGATATCCATTGGAAGATTCTGAAGAGAGGAATGACAGAATCTGACTTAGGTTTTAAAAGGATTACTCTGCCCAATGTGTTCAGAATAGACTGTAAAGGAACAAAAGGAAAAGCAAGGAAATAATTTAGGGCTATTCCAGTAATGTTGGTGAGAGATGAGGGTAGCTTGAATCAGAGTGTAGCAAGTAGTCAAATTTTTAATATATTTTAAATTAGAAAATTGCTGACTGATTTGATGTGCAATGTGTGTAAAAGAGAAGATCGGGGATGACAGAAGGCTTTTACTCTGACCAACTGAAAAAATAGAATTTCCGTTTACTGAGACAGAAAGACTACAGGTAAAGCAGGTTTTGGGGAGATGACCAGGAGTTTGGTTTGGACGTTTTAAGTTTGTGATTGCTTCTTAGATATCCAAGTGTAAATGATAAGTAGGCACCAATATGCATCTATAATTCAAGGAAGAGTTTCAGAGTTGGATATGAAAATTTTGGATACATTAATGTATTATTGATATTTAAAGCTCTGAGACTGGAGATCTCTAAGACAATGAGTACAGATACAGAAGAGACTGGAAAATTGAGCCTTGGGAACATTCCGACATTCAGAGATCCAGATGATGTTAGTCTGTGAATGAAATGCTAATGATGTAGAAGGGCGATCAGAAGAAAAACATTAGTATGTTTGTAGGCTGGTGGGAATAATCCAGTTAGAGAGGGAAATTTTGATGGTATAAGAGAGGGTCCTTGAATTAATGATAATAAAATTAATTTAAAAAAAAGAATACCTGTATACCCTTTCCCCAGATTTATGTGGCATTTACCCCAATCACTTCATTTTTTATTTGCAAGAGATATGTATTGCAAATATATATATTTTTCTGATCTAAAAAAAAAGAGAGAGAGAGGGTCCTTGAGCCGGCGTGGGCCAGAGGGATGGGGGTGGTCTAGTAAGGGTAGGAGTTGGCTTTAGGTGGAAGGGTTCATCTACAGTAATGAGGGAAAGGGAGAGTATGTGGCTACAGACAGGTAGGTAGGTAGGTGAGACTGCGGATATCGACGGCAAAGTATCGTCGAAGTGCCTGATTTTCTCAGTGAAACAGGAAGTAAAGCTGAGGGAGGATGAAAGGATTCGTGGTTTGTGGTGAAAGGAGAAGAAATAAAATAGTCGTTTAGGAGAGTTGCAGGGTGATTAGTTAATGGATCTGTAATAACGATTGCCGAGCATCGCTGAGAAACCACCTTAGTGCGATGGAGTTAGGAATTCTAATTAATAGTTAAAATGCTTTCGCCGAGACACAACCGTCCGTGGAGGTGTAGGCAGGGGTCCGAGGCCCGTAAGAGGGCGCTCGCGGACTGGCCACGGGTAGCTCAGTCCCTTGAGAGACTCAGAATAAATGCTGGATTTTCTCCGAAGAAAGCAGTAGGAAAACGAACTTGCTTCTTCCAAAGGTAGTAAACAACCAGTCTTCAAAACTACTGACGCTGTGAGCAGGATTCGAACCTGCGCGGGGAGACCCCATTGGATTTCGAGTCCAACGCCTTAACCACTCGGCCATCACAGCCTCGTGCACTCTCGGGCCTGCGCAACTATAGTTCTCTATCAACAGGCCAGCTGTTCTCCGGCTGTCTCAGGACATCGATGCGCGTGCGCCTCAGCTAGTACTGGCCTTGCCTTCTCTAGCTGTCGTCGGCCTTGTGAGAACTATGCTTTCCTGTTCTCCGCACCGAGCCACAGTACGGCCCCAATAGAGTCTAAATCAGAGTCCATGGTCTCACAGCCTTAAAGACAGACAAAAGGATGCCCTCTTGCCCCTTAGTTTATGACAGTGAAGTAGAAAAGCCAGGCTCTATCCGCGCTCTGAAAGCTTATGGTAACAGAGGCTCGAAGAGTAATTGGGTTGGTAAGTAGACACGACCCTTTTCGCAAGTTGCTGCAGCAGGGGTGTTTGGAAAGGATGGAAGTGCGTCCTTTTTGCAGCAACAGCAGGTTACTTGCAAGCCGCGAAGGCACCGCCGGGATTCGCACCCAGAATCTCCTGTTTACTAAACAGGCGCTTTAACCAGCTAAGCCACGGCGCCAGCAGCAGATGGCCTTTCTAGCAATAGATCAGGTGTTCATGGGCACAGTAAATTACCGTGCTAACAGCAGTTAAGGGCGGGTGGAGGGGGTGGTCCTCAATGATTCATTCCTTCCAAAGTCCTTCCTTTCCTTTCCCAGTTGAGCCAAAAGGTTAGCGCTCACCCCCTCCCTTCTCCCCACCTTTTGGGTCCAACTCGACCATGAATGGGTTGTGACGACCTGTCCCTTAGCCACCGAACTGACCTAAAGGGTCTTCTGTAAGGTGACAGAGCAGCTAAACACCCTCAACTGCTTCAGAGGCCCATGGGGTTAAGTGGGTGTCCCCTCCCTCAGGCACATGTGACCTGGAGGTTAAGCCCTTCATCACAAGTTGACTCTCATCTCCTTCCCAGGACAAACCCAGAGGAGGTAACAGTTAGAGGTGAGAGTGGGCTTTAATTAGGTGGAGATTTAGCAGACTCAGTTAAGACTTTTAAGGTGGAAAGGGTGTGGGACAAAGAGGTCTGGGGTAGTCAGGGGAGGAATTACTCTCCCTACAACCTTCCTGGAAGGGGGTGGGCGGCACATCTCCCCATAGCTTCCCTCACCCAAACCCTAAACTTCATTCCACAAAATCTTTTTTCTTTTTGTATTAGAAAAAATAACAGACACAATATCAAAAACACAAATGCCATTGGTAGAGGGTACAGCTGAGAACACCTGGGTCCCACCTGAGGGGCAGCACCAGGGACTCCATGGTCCACCAACCTCCCCCACCCTGGAGCAGCTAGGGGTTTGGACCACTGGGTCCTGCTTGGGCCTCAGGCCCTCCTCCTCCCATCTGGGGAGGAGGTGGGAGAGAGGGCTATCTCCCCCAATAAATAAGTGCAGCCCCGACCCTAGGGACCAGGACTCTGGCTCAGGTGGAACTTGGAGAGATCACTTCAGCAGCTTGTCAGTAACCTTGCCCAGGGGAAGGAAGAGCTTCTCACCAAGCACTGGAGGTGAGGCTTCTGTGGGCTGCGCTAAAGAGTTCCACCCTCTGTACCCTAAAAGGCCAGAGGCAGCCCCTGGATCCTGGGCTGGTGGTGGGGGTCCTGCCCCCTACAGCGGGAGAAGCTGGGGCAGTTTCCTACTGGTTGGTCCACCCACATCTGAGTTCTGAGTGTTCAGACATGGGAGAAAGATGCTTCTCATGCACTCCTGGAGATGGCCCCAAAATGTAGTCTAGCTGGTGCCATTTTCTGTGGCAGGAAAGTCTGGACTGGACATGCTCCCACCTTGTTCCTCCTCCTCCATGGCCAGGTCCTGAGAGCTTGAGACCCTGGCCCCAGCTTGGGCCTGGGCCTCATCTTCACCCTCACCCTCACCACCACCCTCCTCCATGGGCTCTAGCCCCAGTCCGTCCAGTTCAGAGAAGAGCGGGTCATCAGAGTGGCCAGGGTCTTGAGTGCTACTACCGCAGTCCACACAGGCCTTGGTGGGAGAGAGGGGATGAGTCAGGTGGAGTTCTCATTGCTGACCTGCCACCCCCCAGCTTCCCTTGTCCCCCAGCCCAAGAGCACTTCCCAAAAACATACTCCCAAGAAACACTAGTCTACACAGAGGCACATGGGGCCAACATGATTGGAAAAACATTGTACCCAGAGTATCTAGACCCCAGCATGGACAGTCACAATCAGCACTGGATTGGCCCAGAAATGGTCTACAAAAACTCATGTGGTTTAACACTATATAACCCAACAGCAAACTTAGTGGAATTAACATCCCTCAGAATTAATGACCCAAGGACAATGAGGGTATCAGCCCTTAGCCTCTATTCTTTGAACTTAAGCTTAATTCTTTCTTCTTCCCTCGGGCCTAGACTTCTCTTCTCACCATCACATCAAGGGCCCGAGGCAGCTGGCCCTTCCGGACCCAGGAATGCACAGCACCCAGTTCCCTCCGCTGGTCTTCTGAGAACCGAGGCTGCTGCTTCTGCATGGCCCGGAGCCGCTCCCGGTCCTGCTTGAGCACAGAGGCCATATCCCTGCCCAGCGAAAGGGTTCAGAAGGCAGAGGCTGGAAGCCAGGGTTAGGGACCACAAGGCTGGCATTCTTCCTCTACCCCATCTGCCCACCTGCTGCCTCATGTTCTTCCCCTGAACCAGTCCTCTGAGAGTTGAGGGTTTACAAGACCAGGACAGCTGCCCTTGGCCTGGAAGGAACTAATGATGGGGCTCCAAGGAGCTGGGGTAAGAAGGGAAGCCCTAGGGCAGAGCCAGCCCCAGAAAAGAAAATCTTTACTTAGCTGTGAAATGAGGGTGGCCCAGACTCCCCACCCCTATGAAAGGGAAGCAGAGGTGGCCTCTGAAAGTCCTCACCTAGAGGGCACCTGGTAGGTCATCATGACACGCTGGTCAGCATTGGCCATGAGCAGCCAGATGGGATCCTGGAGCACATATTTAATGACCTGGTCCCCAGGCTCAGCCCTGGCCTGGGCAACCCCAGCTTCAGCCTCGGAAGAGTCGATGCTGCCGAAGTACTTGCTCGTGTGGCTGCTCTGACTGCTGCCTATGAAGCAGAGTAGCCAGCCAACTGAGTCAGGACAGCTGGCACTTCCACCTCCAGGGCCTTACAAGGCCTCCATCAAGGCCACACATCCAGCCCACTGGCCTTCAGAAGCAAGGCATGGGCCCAGACCACTCAGTCAAGGTGGACCCTGGCCTCCCAACTCCCCAGCCACTGCCCAATCCTGGGAAGTGTTGGGAGCACTCACGCGTGATGCTGGCTGAGGTGCTGCCCCCCTCATGGGAGCCTGATCCAGACCCAGAGCCCAAGCCAGAGCCCGAGGAGCCCGAGGCAGCAGAGCCTGTGCCAGAGCGAGAGTCCTCTTGCAGCAGCAACTCCAGCAGGTCGCTGGAGCCCGAAAGCACATCCTGATTGGAGGACTCAGTTACCTCCACCTAGAAGGGCAGAAGGGACAGGGAGGGATTAAGGGCTCCCTTCAACTATTTCCTCTGGTTGTGGGGACCATACCCCACTCCAGTGGCTTCTGTTCCCACTCCAAGACAGTGGAGTCAGGATGAGAGGAGAGCCGGTAAAGGGTAGGGACATGATGCTGGACTATTTCTAAGTTGCAGATAAACTCTAAGAAGTTATTGAGCTGTGCTTGCTACCTGTCAGATAGACAGGACTGTCCCCATTTCACAGATGAGGCAGCTGATTTCTGCATCCTTCAGAAATTCAGCTGGGGTCTCCCACCCCATGAAACCATCTCCTGGAGACTGAGGCCAGGCAGGCAGAGGGCAGGGCAGAAAGGAGCATAAGGTGGGAGGAACAGTGGTGGCACAGAACTACGTGGGGGCTGGTAAGAGGATGTGGGTTAAGTGCTCACCAGTCTGACCTCTGGCTCAGCAACCTCCTCACTGGGAAGTGGGGGCCCAGCACTGCTCCCAGGGCCCCCTGCAACAGTACCCCCCTCAGCACGGAGGGACTCCTCAAGCTGCAGCAGATTTAGCTGGAGCGGGGAGCTGCATCTCGAGTTGAATAGTGGAGAGTCTGGGCGGTGGGGAGGGCTGGGAGGCAGTGGCGGCAGGGACGGGGAAGGGGAGTGGGAGACAGGGGTAGAAGGCCCCTCAGCAGGGGTCTGGGGTATCCCATAGGGATAGGTGGATGGGGTAGGGAACAAATAATTAGGAAGCACCAAGGCTACCATTGGGGTCACCAAAGGAGCAGGGAAAGCTTCAGGGGGCATAGATGTGGGGGCGGAGGGAAGAGGCTGGGGGTCTCCTTGGGGGGAGAACACTGGGAGTGAGTAGGGCTGGACCACAGCTGGGAAGGGAGTAGTGGCTGGTGGTGGGGGCCAAGGGGCAGAGGGCAGCACAGGTGAGGGGTGGGAGACATAGCAGGGAGCTTCAGCCCGGGGAGTTGGCTGGTGGCGTGAGCGCTTGGCTTTGGATCGGCAGTGGTGTCGGCGGCCAACAGGTACGGGGCCATGGTGACAGCCTGTAGGGAGAGACCAGGGTTAGTGAGAGCCTCAACCTGGGGGTTAGCACCCCTACGACCACCATTGCCATGCCACTTTGACCAGAAAAGAGGGCAGGTGAAGGCCCAAGACAAGTGTTTGGCATACAGGCCTACAAAGAACTGAGTGGAAGAAATCTTTGGGGAAGAATTACAGGAGGTAGGGACAAGGGTATTTATTGAGAAAGGAGCCAGAGAAAGGAAGAGTTACATGAGGGGTCGAGTTGTGGGTATGCATTGGACACAGGCATGCTGGCAAATGGGAGAGGACAAGATGGTCCATGACTGCGAACAGGCAGGCAGCTCTGGTCCATCCACCAAACTCCCACAGCCACTGCCAGCCTGGGCACTCCTGCTGCCTGTCGAGGTCATGATCTGCCTAGCTCACAGAAGAGTGAAAAGGTGAGCAGGAAAGCCCAGTTCTGAGTCCTGCATCTGCCTGTAGGGGACCTCCCTCGGACACCCAGAAGACTGCCATCTGCCCCCGAAGTCCCACCCAACCTGGAGTTGTTCAAGCCCTCCTTGCCTGTGTCTGGTCCAGAGTCTATTTACAGATCTCTTAGTGACAACTGAGTCCTAGTGGGGATACTTCCTGCCCCTGTCCCCAGGCTGGGCCTGAAGTGACTTACCTGCAACTGAGCATCTCTGCTGCCAGTCTCAGAGTCAGCCCCCAGGCTGCCTTCCTCTGGCTGCAGCCAGGAACCCCAGCCTAGTGGGGAGAGGCTAGCAAGGGGCCTGTCCCTAGGCAGGGCCCTGGTGGTGGAGGCATCAGCCTGAGTCCCTGGAGCAGAAACATCTCCCCCACAAGAACCCTCTTCCCAGAAAGTGTGGGCCCAGACTGGGCAGTGGGCAGGTTCAGGGATGTCCCAGGTAGTTACCTCGCTCGCCAGGGGCCAAGAGGGCCGTGGAGGAGCCATCAAGTCCACGCAGCCTGCCAAGGTCACGGAAGCGGCTGAGGAAGGCCTGCTCCTCCTTCTGTGTGTGCAGGGATAGCACAGCCTTGGTTAGGCCCACTGGGCGGTAGGCATCTGGGACTGGGTCAGGGGCTACAGTGGGGCTGGGTGCGGGGCTGGGGGCGGGGCCGGGAACCAGGCCAGGCAGGTCTTCCATCATGACGATGTCTGAGAAAAGTGAGATGAGGGAAAGGTCATTAAAATCATCTTAGGGGTTAACACATCTGCACCGTCCCTGCTCCCTCCCCCACCTGACCTGCTCCTATCCAACAGCTTAGCCAACCCCTGACCTCTGCCCCACAACCAAGCCTAGGCCCCAGGAGCATCTCTTGGCCACCTCCCTACCACTGAGGACTAGCTCTGGGCCCTCTTCTCCATGCAAAGCTGTCCCTTGATGAGAGAATACTCAGTACGCTCCAGTGGCACTACCTATTGGAAGGGAAGCCCTTTCTTGCCCTTCCCTCACACGTTTTCCAGGTCAATGCCCAAAGACCCTTCAGGGGTTTCAAAAGTCCTTGCCTTCAAACCCTCTGTGGTCAGCAACTCTGGGTTAAACCCCCTGACCCTAGACTTTGTGTGAGAACCGACCATAAGAGCACACCAAGCAGGATGGGGAAGACAAAGCAGCAGAAGCTGGTGGAGGGAGAGCACGCAGCAGTAGACCCCCATTAGGATGGAGGCCTCCTTCTCCACATCAGGGACCACAGTGGGAGGGAAAAGCAGGCAGGAGGGAGCTCTGGCTGCAGGGACCAAGTGGAACCCGGACACTGTCCCCTCACTCCACGCCCATACCCGACTCTGGGGGCTTCTTGTCTCCCACGTGGACGATGGTGGAGCTGAAGCTACACTGACTGGTGATGGACACCACGCTCTCCGCCTTATTGGCCAGGGCGAGCGGGCTCAGGGTGCCTCCCACCACGGGCTCCTTCCGCGGGGTGGCCCCCTCCCCAGACAGCACTGACGATGGATCTGTGCAGAGAGATGGCACCAGTTACCACTGTGACCCCCCACAGGAGGTCAGAAGAGGAAACCCTGGTGGGGGTGGGTTGACAGTAGGGAGGAATCTGGAGATCTGGAGGCTGGGAGGGGGGCAAGGCAGAGCAAAGTGGGGGCCCCAGTGGCAGAAGGGTAGAGACACAGGGCCAGCGGGCCATGGCTGGGCAGTGGGAGCAGGGCATGCACCAGGCCTTTACCTTTCTTGGCCCCCACAGAGACTGTGCTTGTCCTCTGTTTGTCATCATCGGAGGCTGAAGAGGCAGTGCAAGAGGAGGAGGAGGCACATTTACGCTTGGTTGTGCTGGGAATGTTGCAGCTCTCCAGGTACCTAACAATGCACCAGAGGATGAGAGGGGGGACTGGCGGGTGAGGTAAGGCCAGGGCCTGAGTGGGAGGAGGTGCCTGGCTGGCCTTACCGGAGGATGCTGTCCAGGCAGTTGATCTGCTGGTAGGAACAACTGGAGGCTTCTTTCCTCTCAGCCTCCCCAGGGACCAAGGCTGGTGGGGCCTGGACTGGAGCAGGGGTGGCCTCCAGCTCTGGATCTGGGGACTGGTAAGGAAGGGTCTTGGTCTTGAATGTGCCTGTAGCTGAGACAAGGAGAAATAAAGGAGAGAAGAACTCCTCTGAGTTAGGGTGAAGGTCAAGGGACCCCCAGGTCTCACTCCTCACCCACACCCTCACTAACATACCAGGCAGGCGGGGTTGGGGTGGAGGCCGGGCCCGGGACTCAATAAAAAGCTGCTGCCCCTGATGCTTCACCAGATGCACATCCTTACAGATCTGCTGGAAGGTAACCTATGGGACAAAGCAAGGCAGCATTGGCAGGGCCTGGTCAGCATCAGGGGCCCACGGCACAGTGCAACAAGGTGTCAGTGGGGAGGCATGGAGGCTGCAAGGNCCCATTGGATTTCGAGTCCAACGCCTTAACCACTCGGCCATCACAGCCTCGTGCACTCTCGGGCCTGCGCAACTATAGTTCTCTATCAACAGGCCAGCTGTTCTCCGGCTGTCTCAGGACATCGATGCGCGTGCGCCTCAGCTAGTACTGGCCTTGCCTTCTCTAGCTGTCGTCGGCCTTGTGAGAACTATGCTTTCCTGTTCTCCGCACCGAGCCACAGTACGGCCCCAATAGAGTCTAAATCAGAGTCCATGGTCTCACAGCCTTAAAGACAGACAAAAGGATGCCCTCTTGCCCCTTAGTTTATGACAGTGAAGTAGAAAAGCCAGGCTCTATCCGCGCTCTGAAAGCTTATGGTAACAGAGGCTCGAAGAGTAATTGGGTTGGTAAGTAGACACGACCCTTTTCGCAAGTTGCTGCAGCAGGGGTGTTTGGAAAGGATGGAAGTGCGTCCTTTTTGCAGCAACAGCAGGTTACTTGCAAGCCGCGAAGGCACCGCCGGGATTCGCACCCAGAATCTCCTGTTTACTAAACAGGCGCTTTAACCAGCTAAGCCACGGCGCCAGCAGCAGATGGCCTTTCTAGCAATAGATCAGGTGTTCATGGGCACAGTAAATTACCGTGCTAACAGCAGTTAAGGGCGGGTGGAGGGGGTGGTCCTCAATGATTCATTCCTTCCAAAGTCCTTCCTTTCCTTTCCCAGTTGAGCCAAAAGGTTAGCGCTCACCCCCTCCCTTCTCCCCACCTTTTGGGTCCAACTCGACCATGAATGGGTTGTGACGACCTGTCCCTTAGCCACCGAACTGACCTAAAGGGTCTTCTGTAAGGTGACAGAGCAGCTAAACACCCTCAACTGCTTCAGAGGCCCATGGGGTTAAGTGGGTGTCCCCTCCCTCAGGCACATGTGACCTGGAGGTTAAGCCCTTCATCACAAGTTGACTCTCATCTCCTTCCCAGGACAAACCCAGAGGAGGTAACAGTTAGAGGTGAGAGTGGGCTTTAATTAGGTGGAGATTTAGCAGACTCAGTTAAGACTTTTAAGGTGGAAAGGGTGTGGGACAAAGAGGTCTGGGGTAGTCAGGGGAGGAATTACTCTCCCTACAACCTTCCTGGAAGGGGGTGGGCGGCACATCTCCCCATAGCTTCCCTCACCCAAACCCTAAACTTCATTCCACAAAATCTTTTTTCTTTTTGTATTAGAAAAAATAACAGACACAATATCAAAAACACAAATGCCATTGGTAGAGGGTACAGCTGAGAACACCTGGGTCCCACCTGAGGGGCAGCACCAGGGACTCCATGGTCCACCAACCTCCCCCACCCTGGAGCAGCTAGGGGTTTGGACCACTGGGTCCTGCTTGGGCCTCAGGCCCTCCTCCTCCCATCTGGGGAGGAGGTGGGAGAGAGGGCTATCTCCCCCAATAAATAAGTGCAGCCCCGACCCTAGGGACCAGGACTCTGGCTCAGGTGGAACTTGGAGAGATCACTTCAGCAGCTTGTCAGTAACCTTGCCCAGGGGAAGGAAGAGCTTCTCACCAAGCACTGGAGGTGAGGCTTCTGTGGGCTGCGCTAAAGAGTTCCACCCTCTGTACCCTAAAAGGCCAGAGGCAGCCCCTGGATCCTGGGCTGGTGGTGGGGGTCCTGCCCCCTACAGCGGGAGAAGCTGGGGCAGTTTCCTACTGGTTGGTCCACCCACATCTGAGTTCTGAGTGTTCAGACATGGGAGAAAGATGCTTCTCATGCACTCCTGGAGATGGCCCCAAAATGTAGTCTAGCTGGTGCCATTTTCTGTGGCAGGAAAGTCTGGACTGGACATGCTCCCACCTTGTTCCTCCTCCTCCATGGCCAGGTCCTGAGAGCTTGAGACCCTGGCCCCAGCTTGGGCCTGGGCCTCATCTTCACCCTCACCCTCACCACCACCCTCCTCCATGGGCTCTAGCCCCAGTCCGTCCAGTTCAGAGAAGAGCGGGTCATCAGAGTGGCCAGGGTCTTGAGTGCTACTACCGCAGTCCACACAGGCCTTGGTGGGAGAGAGGGGATGAGTCAGGTGGAGTTCTCATTGCTGACCTGCCACCCCCCAGCTTCCCTTGTCCCCCAGCCCAAGAGCACTTCCCAAAAACATACTCCCAAGAAACACTAGTCTACACAGAGGCACATGGGGCCAACATGATTGGAAAAACATTGTACCCAGAGTATCTAGACCCCAGCATGGACAGTCACAATCAGCACTGGATTGGCCCAGAAATGGTCTACAAAAACTCATGTGGTTTAACACTATATAACCCAACAGCAAACTTAGTGGAATTAACATCCCTCAGAATTAATGACCCAAGGACAATGAGGGTATCAGCCCTTAGCCTCTATTCTTTGAACTTAAGCTTAATTCTTTCTTCTTCCCTCGGGCCTAGACTTCTCTTCTCACCATCACATCAAGGGCCCGAGGCAGCTGGCCCTTCCGGACCCAGGAATGCACAGCACCCAGTTCCCTCCGCTGGTCTTCTGAGAACCGAGGCTGCTGCTTCTGCATGGCCCGGAGCCGCTCCCGGTCCTGCTTGAGCACAGAGGCCATATCCCTGCCCAGCGAAAGGGTTCAGAAGGCAGAGGCTGGAAGCCAGGGTTAGGGACCACAAGGCTGGCATTCTTCCTCTACCCCATCTGCCCACCTGCTGCCTCATGTTCTTCCCCTGAACCAGTCCTCTGAGAGTTGAGGGTTTACAAGACCAGGACAGCTGCCCTTGGCCTGGAAGGAACTAATGATGGGGCTCCAAGGAGCTGGGGTAAGAAGGGAAGCCCTAGGGCAGAGCCAGCCCCAGAAAAGAAAATCTTTACTTAGCTGTGAAATGAGGGTGGCCCAGACTCCCCACCCCTATGAAAGGGAAGCAGAGGTGGCCTCTGAAAGTCCTCACCTAGAGGGCACCTGGTAGGTCATCATGACACGCTGGTCAGCATTGGCCATGAGCAGCCAGATGGGATCCTGGAGCACATATTTAATGACCTGGTCCCCAGGCTCAGCCCTGGCCTGGGCAACCCCAGCTTCAGCCTCGGAAGAGTCGATGCTGCCGAAGTACTTGCTCGTGTGGCTGCTCTGACTGCTGCCTATGAAGCAGAGTAGCCAGCCAACTGAGTCAGGACAGCTGGCACTTCCACCTCCAGGGCCTTACAAGGCCTCCATCAAGGCCACACATCCAGCCCACTGGCCTTCAGAAGCAAGGCATGGGCCCAGACCACTCAGTCAAGGTGGACCCTGGCCTCCCAACTCCCCAGCCACTGCCCAATCCTGGGAAGTGTTGGGAGCACTCACGCGTGATGCTGGCTGAGGTGCTGCCCCCCTCATGGGAGCCTGATCCAGACCCAGAGCCCAAGCCAGAGCCCGAGGAGCCCGAGGCAGCAGAGCCTGTGCCAGAGCGAGAGTCCTCTTGCAGCAGCAACTCCAGCAGGTCGCTGGAGCCCGAAAGCACATCCTGATTGGAGGACTCAGTTACCTCCACCTAGAAGGGCAGAAGGGACAGGGAGGGATTAAGGGCTCCCTTCAACTATTTCCTCTGGTTGTGGGGACCATACCCCACTCCAGTGGCTTCTGTTCCCACTCCAAGACAGTGGAGTCAGGATGAGAGGAGAGCCGGTAAAGGGTAGGGACATGATGCTGGACTATTTCTAAGTTGCAGATAAACTCTAAGAAGTTATTGAGCTGTGCTTGCTACCTGTCAGATAGACAGGACTGTCCCCATTTCACAGATGAGGCAGCTGATTTCTGCATCCTTCAGAAATTCAGCTGGGGTCTCCCACCCCATGAAACCATCTCCTGGAGACTGAGGCCAGGCAGGCAGAGGGCAGGGCAGAAAGGAGCATAAGGTGGGAGGAACAGTGGTGGCACAGAACTACGTGGGGGCTGGTAAGAGGATGTGGGTTAAGTGCTCACCAGTCTGACCTCTGGCTCAGCAACCTCCTCACTGGGAAGTGGGGGCCCAGCACTGCTCCCAGGGCCCCCTGCAACAGTACCCCCCTCAGCACGGAGGGACTCCTCAAGCTGCAGCAGATTTAGCTGGAGCGGGGAGCTGCATCTCGAGTTGAATAGTGGAGAGTCTGGGCGGTGGGGAGGGCTGGGAGGCAGTGGCGGCAGGGACGGGGAAGGGGAGTGGGAGACAGGGGTAGAAGGCCCCTCAGCAGGGGTCTGGGGTATCCCATAGGGATAGGTGGATGGGGTAGGGAACAAATAATTAGGAAGCACCAAGGCTACCATTGGGGTCACCAAAGGAGCAGGGAAAGCTTCAGGGGGCATAGATGTGGGGGCGGAGGGAAGAGGCTGGGGGTCTCCTTGGGGGGAGAACACTGGGAGTGAGTAGGGCTGGACCACAGCTGGGAAGGGAGTAGTGGCTGGTGGTGGGGGCCAAGGGGCAGAGGGCAGCACAGGTGAGGGGTGGGAGACATAGCAGGGAGCTTCAGCCCGGGGAGTTGGCTGGTGGCGTGAGCGCTTGGCTTTGGATCGGCAGTGGTGTCGGCGGCCAACAGGTACGGGGCCATGGTGACAGCCTGTAGGGAGAGACCAGGGTTAGTGAGAGCCTCAACCTGGGGGTTAGCACCCCTACGACCACCATTGCCATGCCACTTTGACCAGAAAAGAGGGCAGGTGAAGGCCCAAGACAAGTGTTTGGCATACAGGCCTACAAAGAACTGAGTGGAAGAAATCTTTGGGGAAGAATTACAGGAGGTAGGGACAAGGGTATTTATTGAGAAAGGAGCCAGAGAAAGGAAGAGTTACATGAGGGGTCGAGTTGTGGGTATGCATTGGACACAGGCATGCTGGCAAATGGGAGAGGACAAGATGGTCCATGACTGCGAACAGGCAGGCAGCTCTGGTCCATCCACCAAACTCCCACAGCCACTGCCAGCCTGGGCACTCCTGCTGCCTGTCGAGGTCATGATCTGCCTAGCTCACAGAAGAGTGAAAAGGTGAGCAGGAAAGCCCAGTTCTGAGTCCTGCATCTGCCTGTAGGGGACCTCCCTCGGACACCCAGAAGACTGCCATCTGCCCCCGAAGTCCCACCCAACCTGGAGTTGTTCAAGCCCTCCTTGCCTGTGTCTGGTCCAGAGTCTATTTACAGATCTCTTAGTGACAACTGAGTCCTAGTGGGGATACTTCCTGCCCCTGTCCCCAGGCTGGGCCTGAAGTGACTTACCTGCAACTGAGCATCTCTGCTGCCAGTCTCAGAGTCAGCCCCCAGGCTGCCTTCCTCTGGCTGCAGCCAGGAACCC